TAAGATATGAAGATAGCCAATAAGTGCATGAAAAAATATCCACATCATATATCATCAGGAAATGCAAATTAAAATGACACACGCTATGCACCTACTACAATGGTCAAAATCAGTAACTTTGATCCAAATGCTGGTGAGGATGTGGAGCAACAGAAACTCTCCATTGCTGGTGGGAATGCAAAATGGAAGATGGTTTGGCAGTTTCTTAACAAAACTACACATTCTCTTACCAAACAACCCAGCGATTGCCATCTTTGGCATTTACTCAAAGAAGTTGAAAACCTAAGTGCACATAAAAGCCTGCAGCCATAAACTGCTATAAACATTCTATAACCACAGATGTTTGTAGAAGCTTTAGTTGTAATTACCAAAACTTGGAAGCAACCAAGATGTCCTTCAGTAGGTAAATGGGTAAATGAACTGTGGTACATTCAGACAAGAGGATATCATTCAGATTCAGCACTAAAAAGAATTGAGCAATCAAGCTATGAGGAGACATGGGAAAAACTTAAATGCATATTACTAAGTGAAAGAAGCCAATCTGAAAAGGCTACATACTGTATAATTCTAGAAAAGGCAAAACCATCAAAACAGTAAAAACAGCAGTGGTTGCCAGGGTTGGGAATGGGGGTGATGAATAGGTGGAACACAACAGATTTTTAGGGCAGTGAAAATTCTCTGATGCTATAATGGTGGGTACAGGTGATTACACATTTGTCCAAACCCATAGAATGTTCAACACTAACAATGAAGCCTAATGTAAACTTTGGGTGATTATAATGTGTAAGCATATGTGCATCAATTGTAACAAATGTACCATTCTGGTTTGAGGTGTTGATAATGGGGGAGGATTTACATGTCTGTGAGTAGAACATATATGAGAAATCTCTTACTCTTAATTTTGCTGTGAGTCTAAAATTGCTCTAAAAATAGTTGTACTTAAAAAAAGAAATAACTTTGTGCTTTGTTATTCAGAATAAATAGGAAATGAAATTTCAACCTGGTGTTAAATAATTATTTCTCCTTATGATATAAGGGTTTATGATTTTTTCAGGAAAGTGAGAGAATTTTCTGGCTCATTAAAATTACAAAAACTACATGTAATTATAAAAACAATGAGGTTTCATTAAATAACTAGAGGCCTGGTGCTCGGATTCATGCACCGGTGGGGTCCCTTAGCCTGGCCTGTGCCCTATCACAATCCAGAACGCCTCTGCGGATGTCGGAGAGCCAGTTTCAGCCCAATCCCCGCAGGCCAGGCCAAGGAACCCCACCGGTGCATGAATCCAGGCACTGGGCCTCTAGTATGCATATAAGATCTTTGGTTAATCTCTTCCCGCCCTTCCCTCTGAGATTCATCAGTCTGTTCCATGTTTCCATGCCTGTGCGTTGAGCATCTGCCCCCTGGTGGTCAGTGCGTGGCATAGCTACCAGTCGAAGGATCAGACGGTCACTTAGGCTTTTATATGTGTAGATAATTATTATTATTAAAATAAATCAGGAGCTGCTCTGTGTTTATATGTGATTCTCACTACAGCTCTGACTTATTCTATTCTCATCGTACAGATAAGGAAACTGAGGCATCCCTTAGTTTTCAGATGGTCCATTAATGTTACCTACTATGTAGAAATTCTACATTGACAAGAGCTGTGACACCAGGAAACTTCATTTTCTAATAGGTAAAAGAACAACCTCTTGAAATTTAGTGTAATCCTTTCTTGGCCAAAAGAACTTATGCTTTCAATTCTACTCAAAGGCTTTGAGATTCCTAATAGAAGAGAGGTAGGAAGAGCACATGATAAAAGAGACAGATTTCATCTAATAGTACACTGTCTAAGAAGATGGATTGGGAACATAAAGAGCTAATAACACCGAACATTTTCTTTGCTAGGTTATCTTTTATACATTAATTATACAGAAGAGGCTGCTTAAATGGGGACTCTCACCGTAGAATGTTTCTTTTAAGAGAGGGCTCTTTTCCTTACTCTGCACTTGAGTTGGGTGATGGTATCAGAGAGCTATCAGGGAGATAAGTTGATATAGTAAGAAAAAGTTTATTTCATTAGTAGTTTAAGCTTATTCATTTAACTGACCAATGAATCATCATTGTATAGGAGACTGTGGTCTGCTCAAATCATCCCTATGTCTAAGCTACTCTATAGTTTTAAATCAGATATCCATGAAAACTGCTTAACTTTGCAAAATTTAAGATATTCTTATTTATGCTTCTACCATATTGTATAAGGTAATAATGCCCTATAATCTCTTACTAGATATTCATTTTTAATATCATTCAGAATAAATGACACCTGATATGTAAAACCAACTTGAGAATTTTTCATGTTTTTCACTAAAGACAACAATCTTCACTAAAGACAACAATCTCCAAATAACTACATAAGACAATATGCATTATTTTTCAAACTTAAAATGTTATTTTCATTTTCTCTAATTTCTAGGGTACTATTTGTATCTGGTCTTATTGGTGTACAAATCTTGCACGGATGACAAGAGGATGTTTTTTCCCTTAAAAAATTCTGTATTATTTTTAAATCAAGGTGAGAGGAATAAATAATGAAGGGATTGACTACTACACCCCAGTTGCTGTGCCTGGCTTATTACCCATATTTCATTTAATCTTTCCAACTGGGAGCTAAAATAGACCTTTTTTCAGTCAATTCCTAACAACTTCTTGCTCTATATAATGAAAGAATGGGGGAAATGTAGCTATTTTCTGTGTGTGTGTGTGTGTGTGTGTGTGTGTGGTTTTTTTCTTTCTCCTACAGCTTTCCTAAACTTGTTTGTTTATGCAATCAATTTTTCTTTTTCCTCAGTGATCTTTTTTACCATACTTCCATTTATCACACAACTTTCATCCCACCCTAGGTGTTGCTGCCTCCTGCCCACCTGTATGGCCGGTTCAGAGCCCACAGCTGTGGAAACTGAATTCTATTTTCTTGCTTGTCATTGCTATTACCTTATTTGACTTTATTTCCCTCTTAAATTTTTTGAAATTATTTTTTCTGGAAGTTGATTTGGTTGGTTCCCTTCTATCCTTTATCTTTTATCTTTCATCACTTCCACCTATATTTTTCTTTCCTTTAAATGTCAAACAAATACATTTTGTTATAAACATAGTCAATGGTCAGCAAACTTGATGCTCACATTCATTGGATCCAGTGAAATAAGTTCAAAGACCATGGCGACCCCGAGCCCCGAGGGTGGCTGCGGAGATGGCCTGCTGGACACTCAGGCGCTGGGGGAGGGCGGGGCGGCAGGGGTGGGGGGGAGCCCCCTGGTGCCTGGACTTCACGGAGGGGGGCGAAGCGCCTGTTGACTCTCCAGGTCAGACTGCATTCTGCACAGCTGTCCTGGACTTGGGGGAGCGGGGAAAGGGGGGGCGGCTGACCCCAGAGACGCTGGTTGAGGCTAAGGAGGAGCCCGTGGAGGTTCCCCAGGACCTGCCTGTGGCCGTGGCCGAGACAGTACCCAGGAGGCCCGGCCCAGGCAGCCCAGAGCGAGCCCCGGCCCAGCCTGGAATTGCGCTGGAGCAGAGCTCCCTGCCCGGCATGGCCCACTGAGCGGGATGGCGGAGCTGGAGCTGGAGAAGGAGCCAGGAGGGGGCGGCGCGGCCCTCGCCGGAGAGCCTGTGGGCGCCCGCGGCCATGTGCTCAGGGAGGTGCTGGCCCGCCCCTTCCTGGATCCGCTCAAAGCCTGCGCCTCCCGCGGGCGCTGAGCCCCAACAAGTTGGCTGCGGACGGAGGAGGAGCGCGTGTTCGCCCTGAGTCCTCCCTGGAGCACGTGGCCGCCGTGGAGCTGGACTTCCGGTTGCGCCGGCCGAGGAGCAGCGGCAGGACGTGGAGCTGGACTTCCGGATGCTTCGGCAGCTGCAGGACTAGAAGCCCGGGAGCTGGTGAAGCTGCAGCGGTGCGAGTCCCAGTGAGCCCCTGCCCTGCCGACACCGGTGCGGGGAGCGGGGAGCTGGAGCGGGTGAGAAAGAGGCACAAGGGCCTGAGGAGGAACCAGATCCCCTCGTGGGGACGGGAAAGCGAGCGGGAGGAACCAGCCTTGGGACGAGCACGCAGCCCCGTGGGACGTCATGTCATGAGCCGGCCGAGGAGGAGGAAGAAGGGGCGGCGAGCAGGAGCAGGCGGCCAGCGGCTGGACCAGGCCCTCTTCCTCACCGGGCAGGACACGCTGAGGGCCCTCCGGTTCTCGGACAGTTGTGGGGGGTCCAAGCCGAGGGAGGCTGCGCGGGTACCTGACGCCCACGGGCGCTGGCCGAGGCCGAGGCCTGTCTCTCAAAGGCCCCGGAGAAGGAACCGCAAATGGCCGCCAAAGCCGGGAAGACGAGGTGGGCTTCCGGCCAGGGCCCAGGCCGGCGCCCGCTCCCTCCTGTGTGCTGCTCCTGGAGGTCAGGGCCCGCTCCTCCCCCGGCGCTTCTTCGGAGGACTCGTGTGACCAAGGTTACTGGTTCCAAACACACCCCCTTCCATGTTTTATAGAGAGTGAGTGAGAAGGAGGAGTGAGGGCAAGCGAGCCTGGTGCAGTGATGGCGCCGCTGGGGCCGTCTGGTTCGGGTCTTGGCGCGTAGCCTGCCGGGCAGCCTCTACCCGCTCCATTTGTGCCTGCATGGCTGTGACAGTACCACGCTAGCTCTTTGTGAGCTTTTACACCAACTGATTTTAGTCTTCACCTTCCTCCACTCCCCCTCTGCCACGCCATTCTGGCCTCCCAGCCCCTGGGCCGCAGGCCGTGGGGCTTGGCAGGGGCCTCCCGGGGACGTTTTGCAAATGGAACTCTGCCGCGTGGGCCTGTGGTTGGTGTTTGTACTTGGATTTTGGTAATACCAAGCGTTATTCAATATATCGAGTTCTTTTTTAACTAAAAAATAATAATAAGTAAAAAACAAGTGCAAAGATTTTATTTAATACCCCCCCCACACACACACACACACACACTATATTAACTCAATGTCAACAATTGTGATTCTCTTTCAGAAACATGATGGCCACTTCACAGTCATCCAGCTGGTGGGTATGCTTCGAGGCATTGCATCAGGAATGAAGTATCTCTCTGATATGGGTTATGTTCATCGGGACCTAGCCGCTAGGAATATATTGGTCAACAGCAACTTAGTGTGCAAAGTCTCGGATTTTGGTCTCTCCCGGGTGCTGGAAGATGATCCAGAAGCTGCCTATACAACAACGGTAAGTGTACATGTGCTTTTCTAACATAGTTCGTTTGCTTTTATTGCTTTTAATGTCATTAGTGTCCTTCTGCTTTTGTTTTTTTCTCTAATTTTCTGCTCCTGGCATTTTCCCAATTTAACATCTTTAGTTGAAACATCTTTTCTTCATCTCATTTAAAACAAAACCTTCTTATATTTCACTTTTATTTCTTCCATTGTACTGGGACTTTATTTAAACATATTCCTGAGGTCCATGCCTTCACACAAATCTGCCTTTGCCTGGGATATTTTTGATGCTTCATAAATTATCTCCTTTCAGTGGAGTTCTGTGCGTTGAAGAATGGTGCAACCAATTAGGTCAGTGATAGTGACGAGGCAATGGTTATGAAATGACTGTTTTTTTCCTCACAGCAAATGCTTTGGAATGATCTGATCATACTTAAAAATGAACAAGATAGGTTTCTCTGGAGATATAAAAGTGCACTCTCAACCTTTCCTTGAACAATTCTTGGGGAAAATGTGAACACGAATAAAAGACTAAAACTTTAGAGCCAAGGTGTTGTATGTCAATTATATTATCGTAACTTAACTCAAGAATATATTGTTTAAGCATTTCTGATCACCTCAAAACCATTTCATTCCACTGATCATTGCGGTGATTGTTTTAAGAGTTCAGTCTCAAAATCTCTCTTCCGTTATCTTAAAGCTAACAATTTATAGAATTATACTCTGTTCTGTTACTTTTTAAACAAAACCCCTACCATTGGCTCATTTGATAGCTTCAACGAGAAATAACTCAGTAAAATTATTCAAGATGTTTTATTCTCTTCTCTTTTTCTAACCTTACACTTTATGCTAAAAGACACAAATCCATTATTTAGTTCCCTTTTATTTCATTTTCTATGAGATTTTTTAAAATTTCACTGTAAAAAATTACCTCAGATTGGATGCAAGTTTAATATAATGAATGAAAGAGGTTATGCCCTTACTATGTTTGCTTTGTAGAAATGGTCTGTATTAATTTATCAGTGATATTTTCATTAATTTATCCAACAAAGAAATACAGTTCTAAGGAAAATAAATTAATCTCTCAGAGTCTGATGTGTAAGGGAGCAGTATCTATTGATCTTTTAATTTGACCAAAAAAAAAAAAAACTTCATAAAAATAAGTCTATCAATTGAAAATAAATTATTTATTTAGAAAAAAAACAGTCTTTCAACTCCATTTTCTAATTGGGAATGTCATAATTCTTTTTTCCAAGAACTTTATTTCTTCTCTTTTATGTTTATAACTGTATAACTTGAAGCAACTTTTCAAGTTATAGAACAATTCATACAAGATTTTTCTCTTATGCATATTATTTCCAACATTAGAGAATAGTGTTTAAAGTTATATATTATTATAAAACATAATATTTTCAAAATTGCAACAAATACTATCTATAAAAGTAATAAAATAAAATAGGAAATAAAAAATAAATAGGAAATAATACTAGATTCTTTGACTGTATGCTTATATAGATATACTTAAAATCCCTTATTAATATTTCAACTGATTTTTAAGAGAAGAAGCTCATAACTAAATATAGAACACTAATAAAATTGGCAGGGTAACCCACATCTTGAAGTATGTATATGTTTTGCATAGTCAGATTTGATATATATATTCTAGGCATATTCTCTGTCTGATATGATTGCAGAGGCCTAGAAGCCTAGACCAGTACAATCTTAATTTTAATTTGACTACAGAATTAAACATCAAATTAAGTAACCAGTATATTAACACTCTAAAGAATGCTTCTTAAAAGCTATAGATGATGCCTCAATTAAGAAATGTCCCTGGATTTAACAGGTATCAATTGAACAGCAAATAATGTAATCAAGCACTTTTTTTTAATCTCAGAAACACCTAACTGTTCAGGGTGTCCCGGGGTACAAAATATCATACACTGATTACTCAAAGTTTAATGAACATGGACATTCACTGCTTACAATGGCAGAGCTCTACCCTTTGACAGGGTAGAATGACTGATGCTTCCTTGCTTTAAGTATGTCATAAAGGTCTGAAAAAGAAATATGGAAGTACAAAAAAAACAGAGGTCTGGAGAAGGCGTCACAAAAAAAGATAAAATTTGAACCATATATTAAAAGATTTAAAAGATTTCATTAGACAGAGAATTGGGGGAGAGGTCCAGAGAGAGGAAACAGAAAGATGAAAAGATATGCAAATTTGGGGAAGTAAATGGCCACGTTGATGAAACCGTGGACAGTTTGGAATAAGGGTGAGGAACAGTGGAGGGGTTGTGAAGGTGGTTGGGTGGTACTTAAAGAAATATGGAGGTTTTTCTATAGCAAGAGATAGACATTGATTGATTTAAATAGGAGAATAACAAAATGCATGCATGTCTTAGAAGATGTTATTGACAACAGTATGAAAAAGGAAGGGGAAGAGTGAGAAGGGGAGGGGATGAAGGACAGGAGGACTGATAACCAGGAGACCAGTTAAGGCATTGCTGCTATGGCTCAGAAAGGCTATATGGGTTTAAGTCATAGGTACTGTGTCTGTCTCAACTTAATGCCAGATTGAGCATTGGCATTCTGCTGAAATTTTGTGTAAAATTTTCAGGACTTTATATAAATATACTTAGGCTCCAGATACTTTTATTTCCTGTTAAAAAATAAAATGAAATGGTTAGAAAACTGCCTACTGAAGATATATCTCAATTCAAGCAAATCCTGAATAATAAAATGCAAAAGAAGAATGGTCATTTATTTTAAAATGATTCTTTGTTTTATAAAAATATTTATAGCAAGGTTCATTGATATGTTTTTTTAAAGTATGACTTCATTTTTTAAAGTTACGTTTCTTAGAACATATCTTTTACCCGAAATTGTTTTGATTTTTTTCTCTTGCTGTGTAAGTGTAATTGCTATTTCCTCATTATTTGTAAATGGTTTTATAATCTGTGTTAAGAATGGTTAGGAGGTAAGGGAGGAAAGTGGAGGGTTTTGAATCAGGAAGACATGGAAAAATATTTTTTTTAAATCTTCTTTAAGAAAGTACTAGTAATTCTTAGAGCAGTATGCAACATGGACATTTTCCATTAAGATGACTTTACCAATTTGGAGAGCCACTTATCACAGCAAAGAGCAGTAAGAACTGATTAAAAGACAGGCTGAAAGTGGTCTCTCCCTCCCAGGAGCTTGCCGGTGCCGCCCCCTCCTCCCACTTCTTTCCCCACAGGTATGCATCTCCTAAACTCTACAGGATTCCATGAGGCTTGCAACCAGGACAGCAATGGATAGCTGCAGTTCACCCTGGGCAAACCTCCCGAACCTGTCCCCAAGGCCCTATTTCTCTGGCTTCTTGATGAGCCAAAGCAGACCAGCCTAGGCTCATTTCCCAGCCCTTTCTTTCTTTTTTTTTCTTTAAAATATATTTTTATTGATTTTAGAGAGGAAGAGAGAGATAGAAACATCAGTGATGAGAAATTGATTGGCTGCCTCCTGCATACCCCCCTACTGGGGATTAAGCTTGCAACCTGGGCATGTGCCCTTGACCAGAATTGAATCCAGGACCATTCAGTCCGCAAGCCAACACTCTATCCACTGAGCCAAACCAGCTAGGGCTCCCAGCCCTTTCTTCCTTTACATCCCCAGCTTTAATAAACAGCCTCTAAACTTAAAAAAATAAAAATAAAAATAAATAAAAGACAAGCTGGAAAGATGGGTGACCAGTGTGAGTCCAGTACTATTTATTATACTGCACTGGTCAGTCAGCACGTGGCAGATAAACAGAGGCTGAAAGAGATGTGACAAGACAGATTACTCTGCTAAACTCTGCTGATATGAGTCCATTCGCACCCTACTTAGAAGACATACATGTAATAAACATGAATTTATTATTTACATTATAAAATACACTAAAGTAAATAAAAGGATGAGAATTATGAGTACACATAAATAGAATTTCTTCCTACAACTTAAGAGTGTTTTGCATATACTGCTTTAGGTGTGAGACATGCTTTAAGGCACTATTTCTTGGAGGGTCAATAACAACAACAAAAAAGGGGGGGGATTTTTTTTTTTGGAAGAGTTATTTTTAATTAAATTTTGGGGGGTCACATTGGTTAATAAGATGGGTTTCAAGTGTACAATTCTATGATACATCATCTGTATATTTCATTGTGTGCCCACCACCCAAAGTCAAATCTTCTTTCATCACCATACACTGATCCCCTTTACTCTTTACCATCCCCTTCCCTCTTCTCTCTGGTAAATGCCATACTGTTGTCTGTGTCTATGAAAATTTGTCATAAAGGGATTATTGAGAGTGGAAAAATGCCTATACAGAGAGAGGACCAAGAGTAACCAAATACAGTTAAACATAGTAAAACCAATAGATGTGTGAACACCAAAGAAAGCAGCATGATGGCTACAGCAGTAGTAGCAGATTTTCCTGGTAAACCCTGTATTAAAATACATTGAGCCTTTGCAAAGGGACCTTAAGAACTGGTAATGACATGAAAACTAAGAAATGTGCACTGTGGGCTAAATATAGAAAAAATTTCACAAAAATAGGATCTAGCTGAGGAGTAGGCCTTGCTTTTACATGCCAATTCTATGAAAGCATACCAGTCACTTAGCGAGAGGAAGTTAGTGAATGATTATGAACCACAGCTAATGATACATATACAATAAGCAATTCGTGGCTAATTTAATCTGCATGAAATTTGCTGAGTTTGGATTGTTCTCCTCTGATTATATTGTTTCCTATCTGGTTATAATTTCAATGCTAAGAAATCTCTTCCTTTTCTGAATTTGTCACACTTTTCCATGGACAGCTGCTTTCTATCCTGTTGCAGAGCAGGGATTCTCTCATTGGAATGCCACTAAGTAACCAGACTTAAACATAGTTTGAAATGTAAAGCTTCTTTGCTCACAAGTAGGAAAATGAGATCTTACTTACCTAAAATATAAATTGAAAGATGTGTTATGGCTCACACTTATCTATTTAAG